GGAACAAGAAACCATAATCTCAGGCAGCCCAGTTTCATTTCCCTTATCTAACTATGTCCCTCTAACTCTTCTCCAACAACCCAAAGCCTTTAATATAAAGTGGTTTGAAGGGATACTTAATTCAGATGGGGCAATAGGGCATGAACGGAAAGGTAGAAAAGGCTGCTATAAAGCAGTGACATACATATGGAGCTACTTAAAAAAATAAGGGATGATTAGATAGAAAGCATATGGAAAAGAATATTAAGGGGTTGGAGAGATGGCTGAAAATCACTTGTAACTCCAGCTCCAGAGGGATCTGATGCCTCCCTCCTCCAAGGGGACATGCACTTATAGCATTGTTCCCACAGACACACAGAAGACACATAATTTTAAAAGCTCATAAATGAATCTACAAAAGAACATGAAGAACTAAAGAAAGGTCAATGGGAATGGAATTTGTCAAGTGAGTGTAAAAAAACATCTGTTATGCCAGAGAGCATGTTGGAGATTTTGGAGGCCTTCTTATTGTTACAAACTTTGAAGTACATCCTGAAGTAACAAGAAGCCTTCAGTCAACTTGGGTTTTTTTAAACTTTTCTCAGACTTATGTTTTTAAAGGGTCCTTTTACATCAGTGTACAGAATGGCTGAAAGGAGTCAAAAGTAGAGGTGTGATGACCAAGTAAGTCATTGCTTTCTTTCTGAGATTCATTTTCAAATGATGTGTATATAAGGGGCGGGAGTATGTGTCTGTGGTTTTGAGACACCTGGCATGTGTGCTGGGAACCAAACTTGGCCCTGTGCAAGAGCAGTGCATGCTCTTCACTGCTGAGCCATCTCTCCAGCCACAGGATGCTACTTTCTTGAGCAACATGTCATGACTTGAAGTATGGTGGCAATAACCATAAAGAAAAGGCAGCTTTGAAGGACATGAAAAATTGCTAAGAGATGGACTCAACGGAGCCTGAGGTTCATTGGATATGACAGATGGCAGTTATCAGTAACATTTTCTCCCTGGAAAATACTTTTCCAAATCTGACTCACAGAAGTCAGGTGATGAGTGGGAAATCTGCAAACAAAAACAAGTCAGATTTGAATATACTTCCAGGACATCAGCTCCAAGCAGTTCAGCTTCCCTTGGAAGTCCAGAAAACCCCACAAGTGCTCCTCACTGTGGGGAAACTCCCAGGAGAATAAGCTTACCCTCTCAAGACTGCTCCTCAGCGCTCAGCATGGCTTCCTCACTTCAAGGTCTTTTATGTTGACATCTATCGCATGCTACTGAAAGGACCAAGCAGATGCCATAACAGGCTGCTCAGTCTTCTCTCAGAGATTAGGCCTCAATTTCAGTTTCCTGAGTCTTCAGCAAGCAGTTTCTGGGAGGGCCATGAACAAAAGACATAGTCCTTACAGTAGCTCCCTTTCTGCACGTACTCTGACTGCTCAAGGTACAGCCAGTTATTACTGTCTGGGACCCCTCACCAACTTAGAGCTACGTGCATGGGTCAATGTGAACGTGCAAGGCTAGCCAGCCTCCATGGCAGCTCAAGGACAGAGCCTGGGACTTGTCCAGACCTGCCCCCAAGATGATAACTATAACCCCCAACCAGTAAATTCAAAGGTTACACACCCTTACCCAATCATATGACGCCAAGGCTTGTACCACCCTGCTTGCAGTTTTTTCTCTTTAAAAACCCCTCACCCTGAGAGCTCAGGGCTGTCATCCTTCACCTGGCTAGCCAGTGTGTTGGACATGGACCAAGCCTGGGCTTGTAATAAACCCCTTTGTGCTTGCATCAGATAGCAGCTCTGTGGTGGTCTTGCTCAGGGGTCTCGAGACGAGGGCACAACACTACATGTACAGCCTTCCCGGGAAGCCAACTAAAGCCATGTGAGAGTGGCAGAAAGATGGAGGGGCGACACATTTCCTCAAGAGCTCTCCATGTAAAACAAAATACTAAAACAGACTAAATAACCGAGGAGAAATAGTTGATAACATCAAATTCCAATTCTAGAAAAGTTACTATTAAAGAGATTGAAATAAAAACATTTTCAGATTTTGCAAAGATCCAGATTTTTTTTTCAGATAGGCAGTAAGGAAGAGCAAATAAGTATCTAAATCATAGCTATGGTTAAATAATTACTGTTAAAATACAGTAATAATCTGTAAGTGAAGGGGTGTCATGGAGAAGATAATTTTGCTTTGGGGGGGAGAAAAACAAATGCATCAATACAATTTTCAGCTCTTTATTATGAAAAATTTGCAGGCATACATAAAGGCAAATAAGAACACTATAACAGAGCTTACTTGAGACACCATCCAAAGGCTTTTGCAGTAATTTTGCTTTTTGCAATATTCCTGACTTTTATAATAATACCCACATATCAAAGCTAGCCACTGTTGAATTCTTCAGTATAAATCTCTAAAGTTTTTTATATAACCATAATACCATTATCACACATAACAATGTCATCACAATTTCTTTGTGTCATTTCTTGATACCATTTAATATTAATCTATATTCAAATTACTCTAGGAAGACATGGGCCATATTCAAATTATTCTCTGAAGTAGTGGAAAAATAATGACTTAATTATATGAATTAGACAATAAAAGTGATTTTGAGATATTTTCAATTACATAATGGCTGCAGTTAATAATAACATAAATGTATATCAAAATCACAAAAAGAACAGATTCAGTGCAAAAACATCATAAGTACATGAGGTGATATTTAACGTAGCCTGGTGTAATAATTCCTGAATATCTACATATTATCAGAACTCAGGGAGTCACAGGTTTATGAAAGGAGCTGAAACAAAATTACCCTTCAGAAATGAACTACATTAGCAGAGAGGGCAAGGGAGGCTTGCTTCTCTTTGAAGCCTAAAGAGGCACTTCACTAAGAGGGCCAGCTTATACTAACAGAGAGATACCCTGGAGAGCATGACAAGGGACAAGGCTCCGTATAAATCCCCCAAACAAAAGAGATAGCCTGGCTTTCACAAGTTTTGGAGGACAGGTGTGAAATTTTATTCCATGTGATTTAATTCATGTAATGTTTCAAGATAGCCTGTATGCTAAGTACCCAGTAGAGCCATAAGCCTCTCTTGCAGCTTTGGGAGTGAGGGACTGTGAGGTCACAGCCTTCTTAACTATCTGTCACAGAGAGGAGGGATGTAGGGGAAGAGCAGGGAGAGGTGCAGTGGTCCAGCCTGAGGCCGCAAAGTCTTTTTAACTATCTGTTGCAGAGATAGGGAAGGATGGAGGGAAAGAGTGGCAGGAGGTGCAGTGGGCGGGGCCTCATTTTTCTAGGCTAAGGACTTGGTAGGTTTGAATGAACAGTCTTAAAGTGGAAGGCCATGGTTTAACACATACATCAAAACATTGTGCTAATATGTCACTGTTATCAACTAAAAACAGAAGTTTAGCTTTTTCTCCATCTCCCAATTTATTTTTACAGGCTCTCAGTTCAGATCCAGGCCTTCCAGAGCATTTTTTAAAGTCTCTTCTAGTTCCAAACTTAGTCTTTCCAGCCTAACTTAGTGGTGCCTATGCAATTAATCATCAGGCTCTAGCACAGTTGACCCACAGGATAACCTGCAGTTTGGACTTGTTTACTCACGGTGACAGTGAACTTGTTCTCCTGACACAATGCGAGTAAATGATCAAAAGCTTGACCAGACCAAAGTTCAACATGCTATTGGTAGCATTGTTAATACCCACAACCTCCTTCCACAAAGTCCATGTCAAACTGTCCCTTTTTACAGACCAATGTGAGTGGTGGGTCTGGGTAGTGCCGATTTGATCCCTCCATGGCAAAATGACATTACCCCTCTCCTGCCCCTTCCACACTATGGCGTTTTGTACTTTGGTAAAACTGCCTTTGTGTCAAAGAGGAACAGAAAGCAGAAATAAATAAAAAGAGAACACTACATATCAGAAACAAACTAACAAACAACAACAACCAAAAAAAAAAAACCAACAGAAAGACAAGAGCATGGATTGATTTGATTTAAAACATAATAAATGATTTTTAAAAGATTTGACCAGTAAGTGAAGCAAAAGTCACCATTTGAAAAGATAAAATAGGGAAATATTTAGGTAAGTCGGACTGAGAGAAAAGAGAAAATAGATAAATAACAGAGTCTATGTGAAAATAAAATATGAAGAAAACATGTTCTTGAAAACCAGTGAAATTCGGCAGAAACATAAAGGATGAGATTGGCTTCAAAAGAGACTTGAGCATCCTTGTTAGTCAATGTAAGAGTTCCATCTACTCAAAGTAAATGAACAGGCAGAAGTGACAATGAACTAGCGCATCAGACCAGGAGAGCGGAAGAGGGAAGCGTTGTGAAACTAGAGAGGAAATCACCGTGGAAACCAGAACAGGTGACTCAGATGAGGTGACAGCTCTGTGCCAGACACTGCTCTAAAAGTCTCATTTACATTAACTCACTCAGCTTCAATAAATGCCACGAAGGCACTTGATTCAATTTAATTGTGTCCCTGATTAAAAAACAAATTGTAGTATATACCTAGAATAAAGAGAAACATTCCACTTCTTTTTTTTTTAAAAAAAAGGGCTATCTACTGGACATCTACAGCAAGCATTATACCTGATAGTGAACTAGAATGTTCTTGTCAAGCATCAGAAATCCAACTTAAAACAGTTTAAACCGAGTATGTACTCCTAGAAAGAAGTCAGCAGTTTTAGAGACTTCATTTGGATTGGAAATGCCTAGATCAAATGAATCCTTAACTGGAGATATATATATATATATATATATATATATATATATATATATATATATATATATATATATATATATATATACAGTGTTTATCAGTTTGCAAGAATACCATAATTTCTGAATACTGATATATTCCAATATACAAACTAAAATTGAATTTACAAAATTTCCAACTACATACTAATTTGTCAGAAACACCTCAGATTCAAGTGTGTCCTGGTCTCTTGTCTCATTTTCTTCCAATTGAATTGGAATAAATGTGAATGTAAGGAAGCCAGAAGAATTCTGTCCCCCACCCCCACTCCTACTCTCTAATTCCTAAATAATGCTATTATTCTCACACCAGTTCCAACCTCTTCTCTAACCCACTTCCTGCCTGCTACCTGGGCATGGTCACTTCCTTGGCTTAGAGTTTGCTTCTGGACTGAGGGAGGTGTTGCTTGAAAAACTTCTGGATCTCTTTCCAGGAGTGTTCCTGGGCTGCTGCGTGAGCAGTGGGATCTCCTCCCCAAAGCAAGGGGTTAGCCAAGCCAGAGTGCCAAGATGCAAAGCAACAGGGAGAATAGGGTGGCTCTATGAGGTGGCCTGCCCCAGGGTACGCCAGCATTCTGCCGCTGCTTCTTCCATGGCTGTGGAGCTGGTCCATGGCTCTCTGTGCTAATGCCTTGCTATCCAGGCATTCATCATTCTCTCCTACAATGAAGAGGAGCCACCCTTGGGCTTTTTCCACAGGAAGTATACTCTGTGGGTTCAGCTTAATCCTGGGGTCACCTATAAAGGGACGGAAGCACAGAGCCCCTGAGGCATGGACTTGGGCTCGCTCCAGAGCCTGTTGGATGGGTGTCACAACCAGATCCCCATACCTTAGTGGAATGTCTAGGACGGCACTGGGCCCATTGATGCAAACAGTGGCAACCACCTGCTTCAGATAGCAGGCCATGGCCAGCCCAATCTCTGCACCTTTGCTCACGGAGATCACACCAATTCCTGGTTGTTGGATCTTGAACACAAAGCAAAGGGAAACCAGTTTACATGCTGTCCTCTGGGAAGAAGCTCTCCCGAAGGAAGGCTGGACAGTCAAAACAGTCAAACTCTGGCATTTGGGTTTTCCAGCTTGTGAGATCTAGAGATTACTACCAATTTAGTAATACTTTCTCTGAGCTTTATCATCTTGTGGGAGCAACTGTATCACTCACCTTGGAACAATCAAAATAAAACCTCATCAAAAATAGAATTTTAAAGATAGGGGTGGTGGCACGGTCCTATAATCCTAACACCAGGGAAACTGAGGCAAGAAATTTTGAGTTCCAATACAGCCTAGGCTACACAGGGAGACCCTGTATTAAGATAAATACACATTTTCAAGTAGAGTTCTAAAAATGCAATTATAATCCAGCAACATTGAACCTCACAAGAACAGAGGCAGTTGGGCTTTCTGAAAGATCACATTCTTGATTTCACTAGAAAAAAGATGTTCGGGGTTGGGAAGATAGCTCAGTGGTAGAGTGCTTGCTGTACAAGCATGGGGACCCAAGTTCAATGCCCAAGACCTATGTGTAAAAGGCAGGCAGGGGTGGTGGTACACTGATGTAATATCAAACAATAGGGAGGCAGAGATATGGTGATATTTTATTTGTATTAAAATGTTATTTGTATGTTAATAAATAAAGTTGCCCGGGGGTCAGAGCTATTAGCAAGCCATAGGAAAGCAGGGCAGTGGTAGCCTACGCTTGTAATTCCAGCACTTGGTAGGCAGAGCTGGGTAAGTCTCTGTGTGTTCAGGGATACAGCCATTATTGGATACACATGCCTTTAATCTTAATACCAATCATGGAAAACCTGGAGGCCTATACAGACAGGCCGTGAGGAGGCGGTCATGTGGTTGGGTTTACAACCAATGAGAAGGCAGGACAGGAACTCTATATAAAGACTTTAATACAGGGGTAGCTCTGGTTCGGAGAGGTAGGACCACCACAGGAGGAAGGGTAAGGTTTTAACTCTTAGCTCTGACCTCTTGGCTTTCTTCTTTGCATTGGTTCTGTGTTTCTTATTTAATAAGAAGGTTGGATACATCTACATTTGGCGCCCAACGTGACAAGAATTCATTAAAAACCACTTGGCTTGGCTTGGCGGCAGGTCTGGTTTCCGGCCTGGGCGGCCCGGCTGCCTAGCTTGGACCCAGGCCTGACTGACCAGCAGCTGGAGCTACTTGCAACTGCTACAAATAACTCAGGCCTGCCCTGCCGAACAGGGCCCCTGCCTGTAAAGCCAAGGCTTGACTCGGCTCAAGCGGCTACACTTTCTCTCTCTCTCTCTCTCTCTCTCTCTCTCTCTCTCTCTCTCTCTCTCTCGCTGGATTCACACCTCGAACACCAGGTGGCTGTGAAATTCCCTGGGATTCTACTGTTCTACCCAGACTTGGATTCTACTGTTCTACCCAGACTTGGTAAGTCAATTAACATATCTATTTAAAAGAGAATTTTTTTCTACATTAAAAAAAATGGGCTTTATGTGTACATTGGAAGAAAATTGGGCTTTGTTTGAAATTTTAGGCACTCTGACAATGGAACAACTATATGAAAAGATTAATATTGATCGAATTATTCAGTTTATTACTTTTCTTATCCTCATTTTACTATTTAAAAAGATCGTCAACTTAAGTGCCAGGATAACAGTCTTAGAAAAACTTGTTAAACCGGTAAAAATGAATTATAGAGAAACTCAAATTCAGACAGAAGAAATAAATAGTGAAGTTGTTTCAAAATTGGATCATAAGGTTACAGAAAGAAAGCCAGTTTTCACACAATCACCCTTAATTTATCCAGTAGCCGTACAGCAGCTACCTGATGAAGAGAATGAACAAAATACTTGGGTTCCAGTTGAAATGTTAGACTTATGAAGATTTAAGGAGGCAATAGCATCTTATGGCATGCACTCCCCATATGTAAAGCAAATGTTAAACACCTGGTCAACTTGTAATAGGATTCTACCAAAGGACTGGCGGGAATTGGCACAGGCTGTTCTTGAACCCGGACAAAATCTCCAGTGGAAAATGTGGTTCAGTAATGAGGCTAAAAATATAGAAAGACAATGGAGGGATAGCGGAATACAAGTCTGCCAGGATCAGCTTATTGGAGAAGGCCAATATGCTTCAGTACAAACACAATGTTCATATGATGTCCAAACCCTAGTTCTATGTCGAACGGCAGCTTTGAATGCATGGGACAGAGTTGAAGAACCAGGAAAAAAAACTGAGTCATTTACAAAGGTTATACAGGGCCCCAAAGAATCTTTCACAGATTTCTTACAAAGATTGACTTCAGCAGTACAAAAAATGGTCCCGAATTCAGAGGCTAGTCAGATAATAATTGAATCTTTAGCCTTTGAGAATGCAAATACAGCGTGCAAAAGAATAATCAGGCCGTTAAAGGCAAGATCTGCACCTTTGGAAGATTGGATTAGAGATACAGTTAATGTAGAGGCTTATGACCATGATGATATGTGGGTAGGAAAAGCAATTTCAAAAGGTTTGAGTAATGTTAGATGTTTTGGATGTGGAAAGCAAGGACATTGGAAAAGGGATTGTAAACAGGTCATTCCTAGAAATAATGTTTCTTCAAGGAACACTGGCAACAGAATGCCCCTTCCTTCTGGAGTATGCAGAAGGTGTGGTAAGGGAAAACACTGGACCAACGAATGTAGATCAACAAGGGACAGACAGGGTAACCCTCTGCCTCGAGCTTCGGGAAACTCCCAGAGGGGCCTCAGGCAGGCCCCCACAATAAATCCAGTTCAAACCTTTCCTGCAGTTGTAGAGGAAACCCCTACTCAAAGCAACTAAATAACCAAATGTCTATTGGAATAAATCATGTTAGTCGAGATGATGAAACAGAGAAAATAGGAAATACAGGAAAAAACATAAAGAAAATTTTTTGGCAAACTTCTATTAATGAACAAAGACCAAAACTAACAATAAAAATAAATGGTGTTTTGTTGTCTGGTTTGATAGACACAGGTACTGACATTACCATAATTGCACCAGAATTTTGGCATCCAACTTGGCCTCTTCAAGAGGTAAACATTCAACTCTTAGGAATTGGGACATTATCTAGAGTGAAACAAAGTGTAAGATGGCTTGAATATATAGGTCCAGAAGGACAGAAAGGAAAATTAAAACCATATATGGCTAACATAGCTATGAACCTGTGGGGTCAAGACTTGTTACAACAATGGAATACTCAGATTAATATCCCTCCAATCTCAGAAACAAATCATAAATTAGTACATGTTTCTGAGAGAAATATTAAAAGATATTATTCTAATGAGTGCTCACCAGCCATCCATGTCATACAAGAACAGGGCACAACACCTGATAATCTTCCAAAAACATTAACAGCTCTGCCCTTAAAATGGTCAACAGACAAGGCTGTATGGGTTCAGCAATGGCCTTTAACAACAGAGAAACTCCAGGCTTTACAAGAGCTGGTGGAAGAACAGTTAAATGCTCATCATATTGAAGAATCAACCAGCCCTTGGAATTCTCCTGTATTTGTTATAAAAAAAAAATCTGGTAAATGGAGAATGGTAACAGACCTTAGAGCAATTAACAAAGTAATTCAGCCAATGGGCTCTTTACAATCTGGAATTCCTTTGCCTACTCTGTTACCAAAAGGATGGCCTCTCATAGTTATTGATTTAAAAGACTGTTTCTTTTCAATACCCTTACAAGAAAAAGACAGAGAAAGATTTGCTTTCACAGTGCCTACTTATAATAATTCTCAACCGGTTAAAAGATTTCAATGGAGGGTTCTCCCACAGGGAATGTTGAATAGCCCAACTTTGTGCCAATATTTTGTAAAACAACCATTAGAAGTGGTACGTAAAAAATTTCCTAAATCTATAATTTATCATTATATGGATGACATTTTATTAGCTGATTCAAATGCAGATACTTTAGAAAGAATGTTTGAAAAAATAAAGAAAATTTTGCCTTGCTGGGGATTACAAATTGCTTCAGAAAAGGTACAAAGAGGAGATTCTATTAATTATTTAGGATATAAAATAGAACTTCAAAAAATTAGACCTCAAAAGGTGCAAATTAGGAGAGATCGACTACAGACTCTTAATGACTTTCAAAGATTATTTGGAGACATTTCTCATCTAAGAACTATTGTCGGGGTAAAAAATGATGAACTGAATAATTTGTTTAAAACCTTTGAAGGTGATAAGGACTTAAATAGTCCAAGAGAATTATCACCTGAAGCTGAGAAAGAATTGGCCTTGGTAGAAAAGAAAGTACATGAAGGGCACGTAGATCGTATTGATCCAAAGCTGGATTGCATTTTGGTTATTTTACCTTCTAGGCATTCCCCAACAGGAATATTAATGCAAAGGGAAGATATTATGTTGGAATGGATATTTTTACCAAATAAACCAAATAAAAAATTAAAAACTTATGTGGAAAAAATCTCTGACTTGATTTGGAAAGGAAAATTGAGACTTCGTCAATTAGCAGGAATAGACCCAGCAGAAATTGTCGTACCTTTAACTAAGGAGGACATTGAAAAATTATGGATAGAAAATGAAGCTTGGCAAAAAGCTTGTAGTAATTTTTTGGGTGAAATTAACAGCAAATATCCAAAAAGCAATAGAATTGATCTCATAAAGAGAGCTGATTGGATCTTGCCTCGAATTGTGAGGAAAAAACCCATATCTGGAGTTCGTACATTTTATACAGATGCCAACAAACAAGGAAAGGCAGGTTACAAATCAGAAAATTTAAGTAAAGTGGTTCAAAGTCCTTATAATTCAGTTCAAAAATCAGAATTGTATGCTATTCTGTTGGTATTAATGGATTTTTCAGAACCTCTCAATATAGTAACTGACTCTCAGTATGCTGAAAGAGTAGTATTACATATTGAGACTGCAGAATTTATCCACAATGCTTCAGAATTAACTTCATTATTTATTCAATTACAAGATACAATCAGAAAAAGGAGT